GTGGGGTGGGCCAAGGTGCTGCCTGGGGCTTTGGGGTTGATAAATTTGGCCCCCACTGGGGCTTTAGCCCTGTATGCCAGGCTAGGAGTCCTGAGTGACCCTCCAGCAACGATCTGAGTGATGTCACAGGCTCCGGAAGCGTATCCACCAAGGTTGTGGCTGAAACAAAACAGCATGGTCCTCCAGACACCCCAGGACTTGGTGCCAGGAAGTGGAACCATCTGTTGGCACCTGTTGTGGGTCACCTGTTGCGGATTTGTTACAGATGGAGGAACTGATTGGCCTAATATGGGAGCCCACCATCCTCCTGCACAGAGTGCCTTGGCAGTCATGCTTCACATGGAGGGGAACAACGGCTATATCATGAGGGACAGAGTTCTCCTTTTCTGACATACAGCAAAATGGGTGACTTTACAGTCCCTCAGATGACCTCCCCAGGGTAGCATGTATGGTACACTCAGCCAGGAAAAATGCCTAAAGCAGCTGCTGTTCTCACTACCAGAGGGGAAGCCACTAGTGTGATCCTAACAGAAAGGGAAGATTTACTCCTCTTGGTACCTACTAAATACCTGTCTTTCCAGCCATAGGTATGGCCTACTCTGCTTTCTTCCCTTCGGGGCTGCCAACCTCTTCCTAGAGTGGGTTTACAGCTTCGCCATAGTCCACAACAAGAGCACCTGCTGGATCTCTGGGCAACTCTCCTTTTCAAGCACTGAAGGCATGCCTTGGAGAGTGGAACCTGTGACCTGAACCAATTGGGCACCCCTCTAATTGGCATGGTGTTTTAATGTGTCTTGGTCTTTTCTTGGGTATAGAGATTGTCTGATATGTTAGTCTATACTGCCGGTGTGGTCTGTGCCTCCAATTACAGCAACACTGTCCCTACAGTGACACATCATCTCGGGGCCCTCAGGGACTTTGTAGAAGAGGGGGAAGCCTCAGATTGTAAGATCTGGGATCGAGGGGTAGACTGAAGGGGAAAATAGGCTTTGTGGGGCCAAACATGGCTGCCCTCATGCATTCCGTTAGTTCAGTGCTGTTTCTGTTAGTTCACTACTAATTTCCAAGCCTCTGTTATGTGACCTTGCTGAGGCAGTCATATGTAATCCTCTGGCGTGGAGCCATCTTTGTGCTTGAACACTGTATAACCTCCACCCCCCCACCCCCCCTACCCCCCACTGCTGGTCCTTATCATGGATTGAATTGTGTCCCCCAAAATATCTGTCAACTTGGCTAGGTCATGATTCCCAGTATTATATGATTGTCTACCATTTTGTCATCTGATGTGATTTCCCTATGTGTTATAAATCCTATCACTATGATGTTAATGAGATGGATTAGAGGCAGTTATATTGATGAGATCTACAAGATTAGTGTCTTAAACCAATCTCTTTTGAGATATAAAGGAAAGAAGTGAGCAGAGAGACATGGGGACCTCATACCACCAAGAAAGCAATGCCAGAAGCAGAGCACGTCCTTTGGACCTGAGGTTTCTGTGATGAGATGCTCCCAGACCAAGAGAAGATTGATGACAAGGACCTTCCTCCAGAGTTGACAGAGAGAAAGCCTTCCCCTGGAGCTGACACCCTGAATTTGCACTTGTAGCCTACTAGACTGTGAGGTAATACATTTCTCTTTGTTAAAGCCATCCACTTGTGGTATTTCTATTATAGCAGCACTAGATAACCAAGACAGTCCTCATGTCACTGGGGACTACTGCCTTGATATTTAAATCTCCCTAATAATAAAGACTCCTTTGCCACCACACTGGAGTTACTTACTTCTTTCTTCCGTGTCTCGGCACTCTCCAGTTTTGGAGGCAAATTTCAAGTTACTGGTCCATGCTTGGACAAGCAAAAAAAAAAAAAAAAAAATCTCTTGTCGTCGAGTCGATTCTGACTCATAGTGATCCTGTAGGACAGAACAGAACTGCCCCATAAGGCTTCCAAGGCCTTTATATTTCCGGAAGTAGACTGCTACGTTTTTCCCCTGCAGAGCCTCTCGGGGTCGGGGGGCGTTCTAACCGCTGACCTTTTGGTTAGCAGCCAAGCACTTAACCACTGTGCCACCAGGGCTCCTTAGGAAATATATTGTTGTTGTTGTTAGGTGCCGTAGAGTTGGTTCTGACTCATAGCAACCCTACGTACAACAGAATGAAACACTGCCCAGTCCTGTGCCATCCTCCCAATCGTTGCTATGTTTGAGCCCATTGTTGAAGCCACTGTGTCAGTACATCTTGTTGAGGTCTTCCTCTTTTTTGCTGCACCTCTGCTTTATCAAGCATGATGTCCTTCTCCAGGGACTGGTCTCTTCTGATAACATGTCCAAAGTATGGGAGACAAAGTCTCGCCATCCTCGCTTCTAAGGAGTATTCTGGCTGTACCTCTTCCAAGACAGATTTGTTCCTTCTTCTGGCAGTCCATGGTATACTCAATATTCTTTGCTAACACTGTAATTCAAAGGCATCAATTCTTCTTCCATCTTCCTTATTCAATGTCCAGTTTTTGCATCCATATAAGGCGATTGAAAATACCATGGCTGTGGTCAGGCACACCTTAGTCCTCAAAGTGACATCTTTGCTTTTCAACACTTTAAAGAGGTCTTTTGTAGCAGGTTTGCCCAATCCCATATGACATTTGATTTCTTGACTACTGCTTCCATGGGTGTTGATTGTAGATCCAAGTAAAATGAAATCCTTGGCAACTTCAATCTTTTCTCCATCTATCATAATGTTGCTTATTGGTCCAGTTGTGAGGATTTTGTTTTCTTTATGTTGAGGTGTAATCCATACCGAAGGGTGTGGTCTTTGATTTTCATCAGTAAGTGCTTCAAGTCCTCTTCACTTTCAGCAAGCAAGGTTGTATCATCTGCATATTGCAGGTTGTTAATTAGACTTCTTCCAATCTTGATGCCCGATTCTTCTTCATATAGTCCAGCTAACTTCTCAGATTATTTGCTCAGCATACACATTGAATAAGTATGGTGAAAGGATACAACCCTGACGCACATCTTTCCTGATTTTAAACCACACAGTCTCCCCTTGTTCTGTTCGAACAACTGCTTCTTGCTCTATGTACATGTTCCACATGAGGACAATTAAGTGTTCTGGAATTCCCATTCTTTGAAGTGTTATCCATAATTTGTTATGACCCACACAGTTGAATGCCTTTGCATAGTCAATAAAACACAGGCAAATATGTTTCTGGTATTCTCTGCTTTCAGCCATGACCATCTGATATTAGCAATGATAACCTACATTCCATGTCCTCTTCTGAAACCGGCTTGAGTTTCTGGCAGTTCCCTGTTGATATACTGCTGCAACTGTTTTTGAATTATCTTCAGCAAAATTTTATTTGCATGTGATATTAATCATATTGTTTGATAATTTCTGCATTCTGTTGGCTCACTTCCTTTGGAACGGGCAAAAATATGGATCTCTTCCTGTTAGTTGGCCAGGTAGTTGTCTTCCAAATTTCTTGGCATAGAGGAGTGAGTGCTTTCAGCATTGCATCTGTTTGTTGAAACATCTCACTTGGTATTTAGTCAAATATATAGAAACCTAAAATCATTAGTGGTTACCAGGGCATGGGAACGAGGGGGAAAAGGAGAGTTTTTCCTTAAGGGGCATTGAGTTTATGTTAATTGTAATGGAATGATTTGGAAAAGGATAATGAGAATGGTTCCACAATTTGAAGAATGCAATCAATGTCACTGAACTATACATGTAGAAATTGTTGAACTGGCATATGCTTTGTTGTGTATGTTTTAACCACAATAAACAACAACAACAAAACTTAACTCTTCTTCCACCTCAGGTCTGTTTCAGGCAGGAAATTTTTAGACAGAAAGTGTATATGTTGTTGGCTTCATCTCTGAACTCTGCAAGCCCCTTCTCTGGCCCCCTTTACCTGTGACTTCTAACTCCTCCAGGGCTATAGGGTGGTGGCGTGGGAGTGGCAGGTGCAGAATGAAGAACTTAGAGGAAATGGAAGGTGGCATAGACAAAGGTGGTAGTGATGTCAGTGGCAACAAGTAGTAGAATTCTGTATATATTTTGAGGGTATAATCCACAGAATTTGCTCAAGGATTAAGAGAGAGGAGTCAAAGATGATATATTTTTTGAGTTTATAGGATATTCACATTTCCAGATCCTTCTATAGTAATTTGTTTAATCAAGTTTTCTATTTCTTCTTAGGTCAGTATCTGAAAACTCTTGTTCTGAGAAGTCATCCATTTCTGCTTGGTTTTCGAAGTTGTTTTGAAGAGTTGCACATGATATTTTCTTAGGCATATAATTTTCTACCCTGAATTATAGTTATTTGTGTACTTTCTATCTTCCATATTAGATTTAAAAATTTTCAAGGCAAGGGTTATGTATTTCTCCCAGACCACATGGTAGATTTCCTTGAACATGGTATTTGTGTAATAATTTGTTTGGAATAAATTAACATGTTAATTAATTTGGTTACTTATTTAATACTTGTTCATTTATCTCTATGACTTTGTTCATCTTTATCTTCATCAATAATGGACATTTTAGTGATGAAGTACAATAGTTTGAACACTATATTTGACTTTATATAAGATTTAAAATAACATTTTAAATATAAAGTCTTCGAAAATGTTTCTGTTGATAACTGATGTGAGAGTCAAAAGTAAGAGTGAAGGTAGGATGAGAACTGGAGGAAAGGAACTAACATTTGTTGAAGACCTAGTATATGCCAGTCACTCTGTAAGGCACTTTGTATAGAATATCTCATTTGACTTTCATACTAATCCTTTGAGATGCATTTTGTCATCCCCATCTTCTCTAAGATGAAGAAACTACGGCTTAGAGAGGTTCTGTGTCTTATCTAAGTTAATACAACTAGCAGGTGAAAGAGGATTTATCAACAGGAATGAGGAATTTGTATGAATTTTAATACTCAAAAAGCATAAGCAGGTTATATTCAAAATAGTAATCAATTATCCTTAGTCTCTCTTTGAGTTCTTGCTGATATATTTCTATGATAGGACTACTGTATACGTGTGAAATTGGAGATGTGCAAACAGAGCACTGTTCTCCATTCCTCTGAGGGTGTTGGAGATGCAAAGCAGTTAATCAGTCTGCAAGTATTTATTGAATATCCATGTGATCTATGCAAATTTACTGATGCTTGGGGCTTATGGTGAAATACAGAGCTAGTTTCTGCCTTTGAATACTCAGGCAGACACAGAAGGAATGAACATAAATATTCAAATTTGATATTTAATAAAAATGCCATGAGGAGCAAGAGAACTTCTGAGTTTATGCTGAGTTGCATATTGGCTGGCATGATTTCTGCCACAGCAGAAATGTCATCAGAGCTTTTTCTGAAAGATAAGTCTGAATTTCTTACAGGGGCCTGATACTCCATTAGCTTGTCTGGAAACATTAGCCTCTTTGTTCCATAGCTTTATGAGAGGAATTTGCTTACCTGCTCCCTGAACACCTGCTTCACCTGTTTGTTCCTCAGGGTGTAGATGAAGGGGTTGAGCATTGGGGTCATCACGGTGTTGACCAGGGCCATCACCTTGCTTTTGTCCTCCCCCTGGCCACCCTTGCCTGACCGGACATACATGAAGATGCAGCTGCTGTAGAAGAGAGACACGACAATGATGTGGGAGGAGCAGGTTGAGAAGGCTTTTTGCCACTCCTTGACTGAGGGGATGTGCAGGATGGTTTGGAGGATGTGGCCATAGCAGGTGGCTGTCAGACAGAGTACTCAGTAAGCTGAAGTTGGCCACGATAAAGCCCAGAATTTCTATCAGGCTTGTGTCTGCACATATGAGTTCCAGGATTGGAAAGTTGTCACAGAAGAAATGATTAATGATATTGGGGCCACAGAATGGCTGCTGAATTGTGATTGAACTGGGAACAGTGATGAAAAAGAATCCTGCCATCCATGAACATAGGACCAACTGGACACAGACCTTTTTGCTCATGATGGTGGCAGAGTGCAAGGGGTTACAGATAGCCACATAACTGTCAAAAGACATCACTGCCAGGAGATAAAACTCTGTAGTGCCCAGGAAGAAATAGAAGAACCACTGTAGGAAACAGCCTGGGAGGGAGATGGTCTCACTTCCAGTTAAAATATTGGTCAGCATCTTGGGGAAAATGACTGTGGTGAACCAGATCTCCAGAACAGCAAGGTTGCAGAGGAAGTAGTACATGGCGGTGTGGAGGCATCTGTCCATGAGGGTGATGACCACAATGAGGAGGTTCCCCAGAAGAGTGGACAGGTAGTTCAGGATGAACCGCAGGAAGATGAGCATCTGCAGCTCACAGGCATCTGAGAACCCCAGCAGGACAAACTCAGTGACAGTGGGGCTGTTCCCCATGGCTCCTCTGACCTTGGCTGGGGATGGCCAATCAGAAGTGTTGGCATCAGGATTGTGATGCTCTGGGCATCTGAGGACAGCCTGGAACTGAAAGGTAAGAGGAATGAGTGTTGCATTTTTGGCTAAAGTAATTTTTTATTTCTGTGAAGGGCATGTCTTACCACTACTGACTACTCAAGCTGGATTTGCAGAGCCCCTGCTGTGACCCATTTCATTTTTGGTTCCTGTTCTATCTGTGTGCTAGAGGAGGAAGTAGTGATGACTAGGGTGGACCAAGTGAGGCCCAAAAGCAAAAATTAACCACACTTACTGTCATGGGTTGAATTGTGTCCCCCAAAAATGTCTGTCAACTTGGCTGGGTCATGGTACCCAGTATTGTGTGACGTCCACCATTTTATAATCTGATGTGATTTTCCTGTTTGTTGTAAATCCTACCACTGTGATGTTAATGAGATGGATTAGCGGCATTTATGTTGATGAGATCTACAAGACTGAATTGTGCCTTGAGCCAATCTCTTTGAGATATGCAAGAGAGAAGCGAGCAGAGAGACATGGGGACCTCATACCACCAAGAAAGCAGTGCCAGGAGCAGAGCGCGTCCTTTGGACCTGAGTTTCCTGCACTGAGATGCTCCCAGACCAAGAGAAGACTGATGACAAGGACCTTCCTCCAGAGCCGACAGAGAGAGAAAGCCTTCCCTTGGAGCTGGTGCCCTGAATTTGGACTTCTAGCCTACTGGACTGAGAGAATAAACTTCTCTTTGTTAAAGCCACTCACTTGTGGTATTTCTGTTATAGCAGCACCAGATGACTAAGACACTTACCTTTCTTAACTAAACTCTTATTTCTGATTCCTCAACTAATTCTTTTGCCCCAAAGAAAATCTGCTTTCAATATCTTCTATTCTTATCTTTTCCTCCAATATTGAGTCTTCATCTATAAAGAGTTCATACGTTTCTACTTACCTTAGGCACGCACTATCGGGTACATATTCTGAGGTAAACTGGCTTAAAATGCATGGAAACTCTATTGGTGCTACAAGATTACCTGAATCTTTCATCCTTTTAACTTGTACAGTGAAACCTGTGAGGGCTGGAACTGGATGGGACTGCCTTGCTTTTCCTGGCCTCACAAGTTTTCCGCTGTTGACAGGGAACCGTCTTACCACTTTGCTATCACTCTCTATTAGCGGAAAATATTTGAGTTTTCGTTCTCTGACAGGCTTCTGCCTTACATAGGTTCCAGCTTTTGCGGGTTTTACTATATTTGGGTTAATAAACAGGAAGGAAATATGTAAGGGAAAAGCACAGCTCTCACAAATCAAAAAAGAAAAATCCAAGTAATATCTGCATAAATCAAAATTCCTTAGTAAGAGTTTGGTATTCAAGGTTATTAATGATCTGTTCCCAAATGATATTTCCAGGTTCACCTCTCATTACTTCCTGCCTGGATGCTAGGTACAATAGACTGTTTGCAATTTTTTAATTTCTTATCCATTTTCACACACCTGTGCTTTCGCACATGGCAGCTTTTCAGCTTGGAATTATCAGTCTTTCAAATCCTATTTATCTTTTAAAGCGCTCCTCAGTAAATGCATTTCTTCTATGTAACTTTTTCTTCTGAATGAATGAATCTTTCCTCTGTATCTCCCACAATTTTGTGATATCTCATTTTAACTGTATTTTATAGTTGCTTTTAATTTTTTGCTCACTAAGTAAAAAATTTCTTTATCAATTTTGATAATCTCTACAACACCTAGAACAAGTTTCTAGAGATAATTGGCATTAATAAACACTCATTGAATGAATAAGTAACACTTCAAATGCCTAAGAGAGACAGTTGGTGGGTATTTACACACAAGGGGCTGAGGACATACTGCTTATGTAGTATTTCTTAGAGGTCAGCAACCTTGCAGAGTCAGCATGCCAAGTAATCTTAAATTGGTTCATTTGAGGAAAGTTTGCTTTTCCTCATGAGGAGGAGGTATCTTCCTGTAATCACTCCCTGAGGAGAGACTCTCCATCGATGAAGTAGTGTAGAGTTTGAGCTAGTAAGTAGACAGAGGTCTGGTTGGGTATGCTAGGGGACTCCTGGCAGCAAAACGAAACAAAAGAACAAAATCTTAAAAAGATCTCTTTTTAAAAGGCAGCATCCCTGGAAGTGTCCTTCCTTAAGTATTATCAACTACTACTTTATTTATCTGGCATATCTATTGCAAGAATTATTTGCCAGTGTCTGAGAATAAGATTGGGACTCAGTTTAAGGACCTGGGAGAAGGAGGTGCTAGAGGTGGTGGAGCATCAGGGTGATGAAAGTGGCATTAGTGGGGAGGATGAAATGGAGAACTTGACAGACTTTGCCTTCTGTTTAGCACAGGCTACACTACTCAAAACGATTCCACCAACTACCAGTCTATCATTAAAGAACACAAATAGTTAATCAGCCTCTGAGGATATAACTTATTCTTCAAGGCTTATTTCTAGACTCAATATCATCTGATTCATAAGTGATCTGAAATAGTGGTTTTTGCAGCCTGATTGTTTGATTCCAGGGTGAGCCCAGGTAGCTGAGAAAGTTATCTAGCTCTTTCCAGAACACAAGCAGAATCCATCATGAATGTGATTCCCAGAAACATCATCAGAAACTAATAGGATGAGGATTACCTAGTGAAGTTCTTGGGGAGATACATTCAGAGACCTCTAGGAACAGAGCCTAAGATAATGAATAGATGGAGGAGAGTGGGTAGGGAGGAAAAAGTCGAGGGTTCATAGTGGATCATGAGCTGAGCACAGATAAACCATGCAAAGACATTGTAACCAGCACAAGGACGTAGTACATAGACAGTTCCATTGATGAAGTTCGGGGTTTTTCCCCCTATATCAAACAGGAGGCCACCAGCTTATGGTCTTTCTAGATACAATGGAAAATGGACCACTTCATGAATCCTAGCATTCTCCTCTTTATTGTACATGCTTGATGAGGGAAGGAGGAGACTTGGCCGGCAGCCTGAGAGCCTGGACATGGCTGCAGCCATCCACTTCAGACCATTCATTATTTTAAGGGTGAGTCATGTAGGCTCGATTGGGAGAGTCTCTGTGGATGCCTTAGAGGCTTGTGTTCCCGGGTTAGAACTGCATGTTCTTCTGGAGAGTTCTAGTTCACTTAGAAGGAAGATGAGATCTTTCCCCTCTAAGGAAAAGCATTAAGAATTTCACCCAGATTCAATGTTGTCCAGAGCTTTGGGTTTCCAAGGGAACAGTTACATAAAGCACAGGGTAGGACAATGTCTTGTAAATCAGGCCAGGTAATGTTCCTCACTGGTAGGGAGTAACTTAATGGCTCTGACTGAATAAGCACTGACTTAGCTCCTGCTATGTTCTAGCATTGATCTTGATGGTGGGGTTAAAGTTACAAATGAGACCCAGTGTCTGTCCTTGATATGACAGACCTTATAAAAGAATATAGAAAGCAATTGCCAGTAGGAGGAGGGCTTGAGGAAGCCACTGCTGCTCTGCCATACCCTGAGACACTGGGACGGAGACTACCCCAAAGGTCCTGGGGCAGGGTGTCTAGCAGTCCTCTGAGGAAGTCCCGATGAGGATATTCCAAATATGCTACTCACAGGATTGCAGAAGATACCAGGGTCTCACGGATATTTCTTGGGGTTGCAATATTAGCCCTAAATGCAGGTCTTATATTGTTGGCATCAGGTTTTCATCTCTCATGAATTTGATGGTATTCTCTAAGAATGCCTGTCTTTTTCTGAAACTTCCTGATTGAGCAGCCACATTCCCTGGGTCTCTCAGAGTAAGAGAATGGTGTCCTTGGACTTTGCCATCATTCAGCATGTCTGATGAGTCCAGAATGTTTTGAAATCGTCCATTTTCAGCAAGTTCATCCTGGGGCAAGCCTTGAAAAGTACAGTTGTCATTTGGAGCAATCCTTCATCCTCCTCTTGGACTGATGTAGTTAGTGATTCTGACTGATAATCCTCATGTGGGCCCAGTCTGTAAGAAGTGATGCTTCTTCTGTGGGCTATGGGGCTGTAGGAGATAGTGGTGAGCTACTTCTGGAATAAACACTTATCTTCATGGAAGTGACATCAGGGCTGAAAGATATCGGTTGCAGCTTTGTTTTCTTAAGAGATCTACTTTTCTCTCTAGTTTGATGGGGCTTAGGATCCCCAGGGAATTAATATAATGAGCCTCACTTAGACTCTTCCCAACTCTCTTGGCTGTTACTTACTACAGCTTGCAAACAAAAGTTTCTGTTATTTGTTCAGATCAAGAATAACAGTTACTTTTAGTTAAAATAATGAATCCAATTATGCCTCAGAAATGGAGACTACCATTTAAAGTTCGGTATCCCTATTGTTACAGGGATGCAAGGAACCACCACAGGTAATAAAGAGCCTTGGCCAATCTTATCCTGACTTCTGCCTGACTGGAGCTGGTAGATGGTAGAAGATGGGGTCCTGGGGGAAGGGTGAAAATGGGAGGAAATGAAAAAGATTAATTTTTTTTTTCCTTACCTGAAAATGTAAAAAGTGTTTGGGAAAAAAAACCCCAGAAACTTATGCCCAAGGCATAGTCAAGAAAGGAGGAACAAAGAACGAAGGCTTGGCTCTTGTCCAGGCTACACAAATGGCCTCTTCAGCAAATTCTTGGCTATTCAATTTTCAATACTGTTTATAAGAAAATTAAAGCAGATTATTTGTAATGCCATGTTTCCAAAGCATGTACTCCTTTAATATAGAAAAATTGGGAACTCTAGTAAAATATATTAACCTCTTCATCCATGGTCCTACCTCAATATCATTAATTCTTTGGTGAATTTTTTTTTTTTGGCCAGATCTTCCTATGCAGTTCTTACATGTTGTTAGGTGCCACTGAGTCGTTTCCAACTTATAGTGATCCTATAGGACAGAGTAATACTGCCCCTATAGGATTTCCAAGGAGCAACTGGTGGATTTGAATTGCTGACCTTTTGGTTAGCAGCTGA